TCTCTTCTTCCTTTTTTATTAGCAGCAGCAGTAGTAATTACAGCAAATTGAATCATAGTGAAAACTGGAATCAGTGTGTAATGAGAGATTTATCCTGTGTGGAAAAAAATGGGGGTGGAGTTTTACCTGAAGGAATGAAGGGGAGGATGCAGAAATTAATATCAGCAAATATTATGGCTACACACTTTTAAAAGGAAAGTTGAAAATAAATCGAGCCTTCTTCTAGACAAGGGTTTAATGTGTTATCATGTAATGAAGAGATCGGGTCTTTAACAGGTTCTAAACTGTTATGAATTATATTAAAATGCCCAAAAAAACTCATTAGCTGAATAATAATGAATCCAGAATGGTAGTACAATAAAAATAAAATAGCAGCTTATAGGATTTTTAGAATCTGTTAAGTTTGACTTTAATTTAAAGTTTGTTCATGACCCAGTTTGGGCCAAGCCTCATCTATTGAATAGCTGGACTCATATTTAATCCTTGATTTAAAAAAGGACTCCCTAGCCATTTAAACTGCTGCAATGTCGCCATGTCCTGTTGCTGCAAAGCAAGCCCAAACCATCAACCCCCGATCAAGTTATCTGTTAGCTGGTATGAGTTGTTCTTTTTGTTACTATGTTTTTGGTTTCTCGTGCAATATGTAATAGCTCCAAACAGTCATCCAAAGAACCAACTTCCAGATGTAATTTTTTCCCAATCAAAAGGTTTAGAGACCTTGGAGGGAGGATTCTTCATCAATCCCTTGAATCTTTGTTCAGTCTTCTTCAAATTGGGCTTTTCTGGAGTTTATTATTAAACATTCTAGCTGAGTTTGGTATAGTCTTTTCTGTATAAAGTTTGTTCAGTCTAAATCTCAGCTGAATTTGCTGTGACGTTCACTCTGAAAAGATCTACAGCTGCCTTTGCTGCTTTCCTATCATGCATGTTTTCTTCAAATTGTTTTAGAACAGCCTTATACCCTCTCCCATATTAATGTGGCGCAATAGCTACTTCTCTAAGGTCAATACCATTGTCCTCCAACCTTGACATTGTATTAGGGCACACCAGGGTTCTTCTCATGAGAAAACTGGCATTTTGCCTTTGACTATGACAGCCTTGCTGCTCATTAAAGGCATTTAAGTGCTTTAAAAAACATTTTCTTTGGTCATTCCATTAACATTCTGGCCCCTGTCTTTGTCATTGCAGTGTAAAATCTGCTTTTTAATAGTAGTTCAGTTTCACTGACACAGACACAGGCTGCAGTATGTTTCTACTATGATTTTTTTGTATCAACCTTTTCCATGTGATTGTTCCTTTTACTAAGAAACCTAAACATAATTACAGTATGCTTCAACATTAAGAAAAATATGAGCACTTTGTGTTTTGTATTTAATAAGCCCTTTTTGGAACAGCTTATTTATTTAATTGCAGGAGTAACAAGTAATGATCCATCCACACACGGTTGAGTACTAAGTAAGCACTGAAGCTTTTTCCTTTATTGTTTCCATTGGAAGGACAAACATGATTAGCTACAGTGTTAGCCTTGTCTATGTATATCTACACACTCCTCTTTGCGTGGAGCATTTTGGAGACAGAGTAAGAGAAGCATGGCTGAGATGGTTTGAATATCGACTAAAGAGGGATGGTGGATAAACTGGACAAAAGATGTTAAATATGGAGGGGTCAAAAAGACGGAAAATATCAGAGAGAGTTTGTAAACACTGCAATAGATGATATGGACAGACCTCACCTTATAGGATAAATCAAATTTCCCTAAATGTGAAACTGAGACTCTCATTAGTGAGGCAGAGAAAGAGAAATCAGATTTATTATTTGGTTCTAAAATTGAACAAAAACAAAAGAGATGAACTGTAAAGGCTCAGAGCAAATATTTCTGTAGGAAAATCATAAGATTATAAACCAAAAGCCTGGTGTGATCTGGAACCTTAAAATATGTGGCCGAATCTTATTTACCTTCTTATTTTGCTTTTTAAATGGGTTGAATTTCTTTTAGAAATAAACTCATTTATTTGTGTTTTATATTTCAAGATCTTATAAAGCCATTTGATTTATGATTTAATCTATTGAAGGAATAGGTTGAGCTCAGAGTCAATAATCAATGAGGGAGAGAAATAAGAACCTACAATTTGAGTAAGATCAAGAAAGATTGGTCAAAACTCTATTTAAACAGTTACCTTTAAGATCTCCTATCAGCAGGGAAATGTACATAAATACATCTTGATTTCTTATTTTTATTTAGTTTTTATCAAATCTAAACAAGGCTAAATATGTTTTTCATATTTGGGAAATTTTATTTATTTTTGTTACCAAAAGATTTTGTATAACTTATAATTATTATTTGATAATTATCATGGGTTTGACACATGTTTGATTCATTGAAAACACTAAGGCTTGGCTGTATGATTGGGAGTCTCTGCCTCTTATCTGTTACACTAGATATGGGCCAAAGCCCCTCTGCAAACCTAATATTTCAGTGATGGCAGTGATGGAATAAAAGGAAGGAAAACACTTCAGATTTTATACTCAGCAAAAATGTTTTTGATATATTTTTCTGTAAATGGCAAAAGAAATTGGATTATTCTCTGCTGGAGTTATTGCAGAACTAGGGGCTGAAATGATAAAATCAAAGGTTGGAAATGCAAATAAAAAATGTAAATATATAGATAACTATTTTTTTCCACATTTTTATTGCTGCCATAAAAACCAGATAAACTGCTCAAATATTCTGCTGCCTTACCTATTTATTCAGCTACATGTGAGTTTTCTATAGATTCAAAATCTTTACGACAATTTAATAGTTTCTTCTTAAAATTAGATTAAAATAAAGCTTTTTAATTGATTTTTCAGTCTTTTCTTTTTTTTCTTTATGTAGTTTTGTTCTATGCATCAATGCTAACTACAATAACAAATGTAATATTAAGTTACCGTAATATTTTTTGGTATGAACAAATATTCATATTAATACTAATACATTTCAGAAATGTGGTTAAATTTGCATTTTTAAAAAACAGATTAAATGTTAGAAGGTGTAAAACAATTCCCAAACATTAACAGATAATTTGCATTTATTTTCATGTTAATATATCAAAACAAATCTGTCTCAGCAGAATTACAATCACTTCCCTGACTGTTTTGCAGAACATTACAGTCTGATCTGCAGTCTGTGACTGAAATCAGATGCATTTTAAAACCAAAATATTTGGACTGCCAGGATGCTGCAAACATAAGATGGTTTATCGCCCAGCGAAAGTTCAGCCTTCGAGCCTTAAATGCTTCTATAAAAAGATATCAGTGAACTTGTGTAACCTTTACAGACATACGCAGTGTAAATACTCATACAGGAGATCATAATTCAAAGAGGTGTGTGTGTGAGTGTGTGTATGGTAACACTCAGAGAGGAGGGAAGTATCCATGTAGTGTTTTCTCCTTCCCTCTATGAAGCACAGCGCTCAGTGTTCGACCAAATAAAGTGATGAGAAGCTCCTTCGCTTTCTCTGCTTTTTCATATGGAAATAGAAAATAATGGGGTGATTAAATAGAGTCGTATATTAAAGTACAGCTGACATTAGAATTAGCATAATGTGCTCTCGCCTCAGGCTGCATACTTTATTTGCCATCTGCGTTAGACTCCCCTCCCCGGGGAGGGCGCTCTCTGTCTTCTCTCTCTCGCTCTCTCTCCCTTTGTCACACACACACAAACCAACACACTTCCCCCAGACAAAAACCCTGACCCTCTTCTTCCACTGTGACCAGAGACAAATAGTGTCTCGGTGCATTATTTCACTTTCTAAAACACACAAACACACTGCTAAATGACTTCAATGACCGAGGGAGAAGTTTCCAGAAAGATGGAGGCAGGAATGGAGAGAGTGAATGTTTCTTTCTGTGGAGTGTTAAGATTTGACACTAAAACAGCTTGTGAGAAACATGCACACAAAAGCTGAGACATGGGGAGCTGTTATTTTCACTGTACAAGTGAGAGTGTGTGAGTGTGTGTGAACGTCCTGCCTGCTATAATTAAGTCAAAAGGCCTTACAGGACGATAGAGGAGAACAGCTGTTCCACCTCCACGCTGCTCCTCCTTAATGCAAACACACTTACAGAGCGAGACAAACTCATGAATAATTAAGGGTTTATTATCATTAATAATACTCTTATTGTAATTAATATTATTTTATTTCAAATATTCTTTGTTGGTATTCTTTATTATGAATAAGAACATAAATTACAATGATTGCATATCAAACATATTCATGTAATTATATTTTTGTCATCTTTATTTACAAGATATACATGCTCCTTTATAGTAAACTCATTTTCAGTATTAGTGCCAGTGAACACAAACTGACAAATACACAGATATACAAATAAGGGCAACAGCTAAGGCAGCATGCTTTCCAAATTAGTGCAATAGGTCAAGAAAACAAGCCTTCACTGAATAAATACACAATAATAAAAAAATGTACAGCATGATTAATACATGTGAGCAAAAACAAAGACTAGAGCCAGCAATAAACATTGGTTAATTGCTGCTAATTTTCACCTCTGTTTTTGGTTACAAATTATTTAATAAAATGTGTTGTGTTTCCTAAAAGGTTAAAGATTTTAATTTTTGAGTATACAATATACCTTTAATCAATGAGCTTTTAAATTGTTTGAATAAATAAAAAACTGCAGTGAATAAAGATGTTTACCTTAGTGAGAAATTAATCATCTCTTGAACCTCTTAAAACACTTATTACTGTGGGCTGACCCCATTTTACTGTGAAATGCACTTACTGAAAGCATGGGAAGTACACATTCTCAGCTACTGCGAGTTTTACACAGAATTAAGTAAAATTTATTGCACATCTCATTACTTGAGCTGAAAACATTCCACACTACAAATAAGGTAGTAATAATAATTTGTTAGTGTTCGTGCAAAGATAAGGTTAGATTTAGTTTTGGTATCATATTATCAACTCTAAAAGGTTTGTTGTGCTTTTGTGTGTTTGCAGTTGGCAGAGATGAACCCTCAAACTACATATGTACCACCTGTAAGCAGCCGTTCCCCAGCGCCTGGTTCCTGCTGCAGCATGCCCAGAACACTCATGGCATTCGCATCTATCTGGAATCAAATCCCTCCAGCACAGCCCTCACACCTCGACTCACCATGCCGCCGCCCATGGGCAACGACTCCATCCCACAATCCCCACTCACCAGCTTTCTAGGGGAAAATAATCCCTTCCACCTGCTAAGAATGACGGGGCCTTTACTCAGAGAACCACCCCCAGGCTTTGTTGAGAACCGTCTCCCCAACACACCACCGTTTGTCAGCCCACCTCCCCGCCATCACCTGGACCCCCATCGGCTAGAACGCCTTAGCGCTGAGGAAATGGGCCTCATCTCACAACATCCCAGTGCCTTTGAGAGGGTGATGCGGCTTACGCCGATGGCCATGGAGTCCCAGTCAATGGATTTCTCCCGGCGATTACGTGAACTGGCAGGGAACACTAACAGCACTACGCCACCACTGTCTCCCAACAGGCCAAACCCTATGCATCGACTGCTAAACCCCAATCCCTTTCAACAAGGCCCCAAATCTCCCTTTCTAAGCACTCCACCATTGCCACCAATGCCCCCAAACAGCACCACTCCTCCCCAGACACAAAACAAGATCAAGTCCTGTGAGTTTTGTGGTAAGACGTTCAAGTTCCAGAGCAACTTGGTGGTGCACCGGCGCAGCCATACTGGAGAAAAACCATACAAGTGCCAGCTGTGTGACCATGCCTGCTCTCAGGCAAGCAAGCTGAAACGCCACATGAAGACACACATGCACAAGGCTGGATCCATGACAGGGCGCTCAGATGATGGCCTTTCCACCACTAGCTCTCCAGAACCAGGCACCAGTGATGTCACTGGTGAGGGCATTAAAAATCGTGATGGTGATTTTCAAGGGGAGGGAAATGAGGAGGAGGAAGAGGAAGAGGAAGAAGAGGAACTTGAGAATGAGAGTCGACCAGAATCGAACTTCAGTATGGAGTCAGAGTTCTACAGGAACAGGGAAAATGGTTCTAAACCTCCTTCGGAAGAAAAGACATCTCTCTCTCTTGAGAAGATGGTAGATGGTGGGGCTATTAACTCAATTCAACAATATAATAATTTGATAGTTGACAATCGTAAAAGGATGTCCTTCTCAAAAAGGGCCTCTGATGGCCAGAGGGACAATGGAGATGAGGACTCTGTTGTTGGAGAGATGGATCACCACCAGCAGGAAGAGCGGACAACCATTAACGGCCGGAACTGTGGCTCCGGTGACTCTTTCTCAGGCTTGTTTCCTCGAAAGCCCACCCCCATCACCAGCCCCGCTCTCTCCAATTCCTCAAACAAGAGGATCAAGATTGAAAAGGACTTGGACATCCACCAGGCACCACATATCCCTTCTGAGAACGTGTACTCCCAGTGGTTGGTGGGCTATGCTGCCTCTCGCCACTTTATAAAAGACCCTTTCTTAGGCTTCACTGATTCCAGACAATCGCCCTTCGCCACTTCGTCTGAGCACTCATCGGAAAATGGCAGCCTGCGCTTTTCGACACCTCCAGGAGACCTGCTTGATGGTGGTCTATCTGGCCGCAGCGGAACCGCAAGTGGGGGAAGCACGCCTCATTTAGGTGGAGGAGCTGGCCCAGGTCGACCGAGTTCCAAGGACGGGAGGAGGTGCGACACCTGTGAATATTGTGGGAAGGTGTTTAAGAACTGCAGTAACCTGACGGTGCACCGGCGCAGTCACACAGGAGAGAGGCCCTACAAGTGTGAGCTGTGCAACTATGCATGCGCCCAGAGCTCAAAGCTCACCCGCCACATGAAGACGCATGGCCAGCTTGGAAAGGAGGTCTACCGGTGTGACATTTGCCAAATGCCCTTCAGTGTGTATAGCACTCTGGAGAAACACATGAAAAAGTGGCATGGAGAACATTTGATGACCAGTGAGGTCAAAATTGAACAAGCAGAGAGAGCCTAAGGTACATTTTCAATGCTCTGTCATTCTTCTTAGACTCTAAAAAAGACAACAAATTAAGGGGGTAGCTGGATACTTTTATATTGATTTTAGTTTAAGTTTGTGTTTTTATTAAAAAAAACTGCCAACTGAGAAAAAAAATGAGATCTTAACTGAAGCTGTCTAAACTGCCTCATTTGGCATTCATTTTTAAACAATCAGTCTGACGAGTTTTAAATGTGTGGAGCCTTTAACTGTGCAATAATTTCTGTATTTATTGGATTTTGTATTTTGGCATGTGCAGGTACATCCTTTTTTTACTGTTTATTTTGAGTTTCGCATTTCATTAAACACACATGACATCCTGAGAGTTCTTCAGCAATTTTAAGAGAAATACAGTTTACGTAGGTTATTTGTTTTGGACATGGCTTAAGGGAAATGTATATTAAGAAAATTGTTTAGGGTCTAGAACAGATGCCAAGTTCAATTTTTGTTTTGAAAGTTAATTGTGAGTGCTAGAGTGAATTTATTTTGCATAACAATATGCGGACAACAATCTTTTTTGGCATTGTAGTATGAAATGACTCTAAGAACATGATTTAATTGGATATGTAGAAACGAGTGTCATAGCAAACAGTAAATGTCAAACAAAAGAGGATCCCAAGATTCATTAACCCTGAATATCGTAACCAGCCTGAGGAAACAGGTTCTCAACAAGACAGCTGCTGACTGCAACAACTCTATGAAAACTTATTAGGTTTCACTCTAACCTTACTACATTATACACCTGTGCATTACATTTTTCACCAAGTCCCATTACATTTCGGTGTTAAAATTAACCAGTAGGGGAACGTGAAGCCATGTCAAGTACACACAGAGAGATAGGACAGAGAAACAGAAAGACCACATAGATGTCTCAGGGTAAAATATAACTGCTCAATTTTTGTTTTTACCCGCTCTTTCCTATGCTGCCTTTCAATGACAGATTTCAACATCTACAAATAGACATATTTAGCTACAAAATATATATTTCATTTATTCCAAGGAGGAAAGTTAAGAAAGTTGATTGGATATCAGTTTAAAAAGGATAACATTTCTGGAGCTGAAATCTTTAAGAATTTCACATATTCTTAGGAGTTTCAAGAGCAGCATTCTTACTTACATTAAAATTACTTAAATATTCTCTATCACAAGAGGATATTTAAATATCTCAGCCTCTGTTTGCTTTAAGCCATTCCAACTTTATAGTTGCACTTCTCCTAGAAAAATGAATAAATCACATTTATTTCAAATGCAGACCGTTATCAGAAACCGGCACTTTACGATGTATCATCCATTGCACACAGACAATACAGCTAAGCGGGACAAAGGGTGTGGAGCTTGGGATCTACTGATGCTTGAGTGCCACAATAGGCCTAGCCTATCCAAACGCTGGCACAAAAAATGTAATAAATAAATGATGGGAGTAATAAGAATATTAATTTATTCTGGACATTTTGTGTACTGCCATTCAATTTGACTTGAGTGTGCCTTGAATATGATCTTCCTTTTAATTGTCTGAGACAAATGTTATGCTTTCCCTGAATCACGAAATTGAACAAAAAAAATGTTTAATTTAAAGTGGAATTTGACACTTAAAATAAAAAATTAGAAAAAAAAACAATGTGCTTAGGTTTAGCATTAGCAGATTACCCTGCACAATAACAATGTGTCTGTGTGTATATATGTATGCATTTGTACATATAAATGCACAACCTATATGAATATATATAGATCTATATCAAATTCGACACTGACAAGGCCATGAGTTTGTTCCACATCCGGATCGTCAGGCAGCAGATAAAAACCTCACAAAAACTGGATAAAAATCAGGAAAAACAGAAACTAGAGCAGAATTTAGTGCACTCTGTCTTGAAGAAGTTTACAGTATTGACACAAGGATTAAAAATCTCTTTGTGTGTGTAAAACATTTTTTTTAAAGATTGTTTTAAAACTTTTTAAGTTCTTTTTTCATTGCTTCTCATTTTTTGTGACGGGTTTTGATATATATATATATAAATATATATGAATATATATGACATTTTTCTGGTTTACTGTAAAAGTATAACAGTATTTGTAATATTGGAGAATGCCTGGGCATTTTACAGAAATGTAAAAAAAAAAAAAACGCTGTTTTCCTTATTTTTTTAAATATCTTTTATTTTACAGTCCAATTTAAATTGTGGGTCTCTAAAACTGTTTTCTTTTGTTTATTTTTTATTTCTTTTTGTTTTTTGTCCATGTAACTGTAAAAGTCCTGAGTTTTAGTAACCTTTCTTCTGGCTTGAGTGTAAAGAAATAAAAAAAACTAAAAAAGTGGAAAAAAAAGTCTGAGCTGGAACGATTTGCAGATGGAAAGTTTAGGGAATGTTGTTTCCGGTTTTCTGGAAGAATCATGGAGAATCCTGACCTGTATCTATTTTTCTTCTCCTGGAATGGATTATTCTCCATGGCTGGTTTGAATTACATGTGTAGGCGCTTGCTGTCGTTCCTAATGAGCTTGTCTTTTTTTTTTTAAATCCTGTAGGCTGTGTGCATCTTTTGTGAATGAATAGGAGTGACTTTCTGACCAATCCAACTCACGGGCTGCCATGATCTGTTTGTACAAACAGAACCTGATCAATTTGTACTGTTGTACTGAATCATGTTGTACAGAATGGGATCAAATAAAGGTTGTTAAACAGCCTTTTAGTGAAAAAAACACATCTTGATGTTTTGGTTGTACATAGTTTTTTCTATGACTACTCTGTTTTACTTTAATTTGTCCTTTCTGTTTGTGATTTCTGACCGGCACTGGCAGTGGCCTGGATGTGGAACGCTGGGGGTTCTCCATGTCAGTTTCCAGGCCTCAGCATGAGAACAGAGCACAAATACAAGATGTTACAAACGTCTATCTTACTTGTCTGCCTCTTTTTTTGATTATTCAAAATCATTTTACAGAAAACAACCCCTGATTCTAAAATATAATAAGAAATTTAATTTTTCGCTGCAGTATTTACTGCTGTCCAAACTAGGGCACAGAAGCAACAACAGTATGAACAGCTTTCAGTGAAAGCGGGTTAGACTGAAAGCATCTCTGTAGAAAATATTTTTTTGCTGTTAAGTTTAAAATCCTCATATTTACTTTAAACATTTTTACTCAGGTCCAGCCATTCTGTATTCAATTTACATACTATGATAAAAGTTCTAAAAAGTGTTAAGAAAAATCAAATATTTTCAAAGGAAATGTTTCTACATGTTTTTAAACACCTCCCTGTAAACACATAAATTCTCGAAATGTCTTTATCACAGTGAATACACAACATAAATACGTACATAAAAGTGCTGTAGTAATTACAGTATTTCCACACTATGTAAAAGTTCCAGGCTTCTCGGTAATTTACATTCATTTTGAAATATGAATACATCCAGTCAGCAAGGTTTCAGATGGCCCTTGTAACAATAACACATTTTAATGAAGAAAGGATACAAGAAAGACATTACATAAGAAAGAAAGAAGGGAATAAGCAAATAAGAAAGATATAAAAATATAAGGAATCCAAGATAGAATGACTTATAAGAGGAAGAGAGGGGAAGAAAAATTGTTTTGGAGATGGATGGAAGAAAGTAAGGAAGTAATTACAAATAGAGCAGCAACTATGAGAAGAAAAAAGGAGGCATGAGATTGCAATGACGAAGAATGATAGAAGGACAAAAATATAATGGAGAAAAGGAGAGGGAAAGGAACGAAGAATGGATGGACATAGGAGAAGAAACTGGTAGGTAAAGAGGGGAGATATAGAAAAGAGAGGTTTCAACATTAAGACCACTATAGAAAAAAGAAGTTAAAAAAAAATGTTTTTAACACTTATCTCCAGACTTGTGAGACATTAAAGTCAGTCATACTTCTCCAAGCTGCATATAAACTCTGTAACTATACCAGGCCTGTGTGTGGCACCCTAACTCCAAAAACTGAGAACTAAGGTGTATAGATTTGGTGGTATTATGGCACCGTCTTTAGAAAGTTGTGTATTGTTATTGACTTAAAAGCATAAGAGTAATTTCCATAAGAGTACAGAAGTTAAGAAAATATTTTTTCAATCATTCACAAAATGCACTTGTCAGCGTCTTATTTCCTATTTCTTGTTTATGCTAATGGCATTTGCAAACACAAATACTGAACAAGTCAAAGAAGACATAATATGATTTAATCATGTCAGAATCTTATAACAAACAAATTTTTACTAATTCTTATGTAATTTGACTGCAGCACAGCATATTGTTTAACCATACATTTAAATTCATTGACTTATAGGTATGGGACTTTCTACAGTACGTTTATATTCAAAATTTTCGCAAAGGGATTTTGAATAGAGAAGGAGGTTACTTAAACATGTGTAACAGTCCCGCCTGAAAGTGCATGTGAATAAATGCAACTTTTTAGCATTTTCTTTAATATTTCAAATATTGAATGAGAAAAACAAAACTAATTTTGTTATTTTGAGTCATCACGAATGGTTTCAAGACAGTGAATTAAAACAGGATATAGAATTAAGGGAGCCATAAGCAAGGCAAGGTAAGGCAAAGTTAGTTTATTTGTACAGCACAATTCAGTACAAGGACAATTCAAAGTGCTTTACATTAATTACACAATACAATAGAAAAAAAATAAAGCAAATAAAGATAAAAAAACATGATAAAAGCAGGTAGTGAAACAAATAAAGCACCAGTGGACCAACACCCTGTCCACCTTAATAAACCTAAACGGATAATGCCTCAGTTAACAGTTTAACTTTAACTTCTTGAGTTTGTTCCAGACAAGAGGAGGATAGGAACTAAATGCTGCTTCTGCATGTTTGGTTCTAGTTCTGGGTGTACAAAGTAGGCTTGAACTAGAATGCCTGAGTGGTCTGGGAGGTTGATATATTGACAAAAAATCTGTTTACTATAAAAATATACTATAAAAATAGGGAGTCCATAAAGTGAAGGCTGAGAAGGGTCGAAGGGCTGATGTTAAGCTGGAGACATGGGTGTCTGTCAATCGGGACTCTAAATGAAGAGTCTTAAACGCTGATAGGCTGTGCTGAGAGGCCGGAGCAGGAGTGCATAGAGAGGCGATAGGTGGACAGGTAGCAGTCTGCCAGTTAAATTTACGCCTAGGCCTGATGTGTGTAGGCTTACATTTTTTATTTATTTACTTTTTTTTGCTGTCAGCATAATCTTTAAAGAAACAGTAATTAATAGAATTGTTTTTTGTTTGTTTTTTTAGTGTGTCCCATTTTGCCAACACGGCTCTGGGAGTAGATGACAACAACTTCACATTCATGCAGTCACATTCACAAAATACCACCCTTACATCAACAGGCCCCACTTAACAATTCTGTTATCGATTCCCAACAATAGATCCTAGGGCTCTGGGGAGCACGACTTAATTCACGTTTTTTATGCCACTTACGCGCACGGCATTCATTAAGCAAGTATCACATGACCAGGCGTAAGTCTAGAAAAGCAAAGCAAAAAATATGGCGTCCGATCGGGTAAAGCTATCGAAAGTTTGGCTTTATTTGAAGGAAGAGAAAGATGGCAACAATGCGCTTTGCAATCATTGCAAAGTGGCAATCATATCCTTGGGAAGAAAAACATCCAACATGCAAAAAAACATGCAAAAAATTTTTATTGTTAACAGAATCGATAAGAGAATCGATAAGGAATCAAATCGTTTCACAGAATCGATAAGGAAATCGGAATCGTGAAAATCTTATCAATTCCCAACCCTAGTATAAATGCTGCAGATGTGACGGCCAGCTTGTTTTCAGAGCTCTAAATGCATTCTAACAACCACAGGTGGGCATGAGCATCCAAAGCAAAGCCAGCAAGCCTTATCCACCTCCAGTGCCTTAATATTCTTACTCTAATGACCTACATATGTAGGTCTTGGCAATAGTTGGCTGCCGTTGTGTGGTGCCCGGGGAGCAGTGTGGGGTTAAGGGTCTTTGCTCAGGGAGTACAGGAAGCCACACAGAGTGGCAGTCTGTGGTAGTGGGGCTTGAACTCAAAACCTCAGGATTCCAAGCCTTATGCCTTACCCCCTAGGCCATCTCTCCCCTGTGATCTGTGACGTCCGGCCCAGGTATAACTTCTGACCCAGCCCAAACCAGGGCCTGCCACAGCCAGATCAGGCTGTGGCACATCTGACCCAATCCCACTCTCAGCAGTATCTGTATTGCAAACTACTTTCACTTTATCAAAGACTTGCTACATTCTGATAGGAACATTGTTTAACATGATATATTCCCTCTCTTAACACATTCAGCATCCTCAAAAGTATTTTTTGTCCATTTGACTTCATTTGTCAACTGAAGTGGAGGCATTGATGCTTGTTAAGTTGTTACACTTAGCTGTCGCTCAGTGAGATTCCCCAGAAGATATAACAAAATGGGGAAAAGGTTCTGATAGTTAGATCAAAGCCAGATAAGCAGTAGAGAAGATTGTTCTTTTAAAGTAAGGAAATTAAAAAAGACAATGTATAGTTTTTATCCAGTGAAGCTCTGCTGCTATGACAATTTGAATGACCGCAGCAAAAAACAAGAACATCTACATAGCATCAGTGCAGTAGACAGGATAATGATTCCTCCTGAAACAAGGCCATTATTACTTTCATCACCTGCTTAGACATTTTCACATTTCTTCCGTTTTTCATTTTCTGATTTAATTTCATGGCTCCATGATGAACAGAAGAGAGAGAGAGAGAGACAGAGACACAGAGAGAGAGGGAAAAGGGGGTTTCCGAAGCACAATTAGTCGAGGGAGGCATGAGTGCAGAATCGGACAGACCCGGGCGAGTTGTGATTTGGCTTGAGTTTCAAGGCAAATGGGTAATTAAGGCTTTTCCCTGGCCGGCCCGCACTTTGAAGTCCCCTACAGGGGGGATTATCTCAGCCAAGAGAAAGACAGTGAAAGTGAAGTAATGAGACCCAGGAAGAGGGGGAGGAACTGAGTGAAGTAGGCAGTGAAGCCTTGATAAAGATGCAGATAGAAAAAAAAAAATGTAAAAAATCTATAAAAAAAATATTATGAAATTAGAAAGAGAAGTAGATAGAAAACACTGCAGGCATAATTGTCAAAATAGTAAAACTGGTTATTTGGATCCAAATATTTGATTTAACCTCTATAATATGTTGCCAGTTCCTGTTTTTTCAACATTGTAATAAATGAAATGAACTCATGTTTTCTCACTAAATTGTTTATTAATTTCTTAAGAGCAGTATGTCTGGGAAAACATCTGTTACTGTCTGTGCATTAAGAAAAAGTGCTTGAATGTAATTGAAATGAAAAATGTATAACCTTTTAGAGAAAGAGCATCAATATCATATAAAAACTTTAAAGGCTATAAAGTATGAAATGGATGTTGCATGTAGGTGCAAATGCACTGGTGATTAGATAATCATCAATGTTATTACTTTTAATTTATACAGCTATTTGGGCAGTTTCCTGCTCTAGCACCTGCGGTTGTGTGCTAACTGTAATGTGAAAAAAAACATAAAACACCCAGAAAAGCATTCCCATATACAGACTATCAATCTTAAAGACCATATAAAGACATTTCTAGACTATTTTGAGTCCATCGTTGGCCAGGCAGAAAAATTTGTTGAGGCACCTGCAAATCTCCCCAGTAGTGGAGATCCCAGCAAGTCCGCCCCAAAGACAGAGGGTGCAGTCCAAATAAAGGACAAAATGAACTCAGTTGATCTATTCAGTATTTAATAAAATTTGATGACACAATGGTAAGAAATAGGGGTAAACTGGAGCCAAAACGCATGTTAAAGTGCCCTCTGATGACTCAAAAACCGGTGCTAAAGTGCTCCCAACTGTGGTGACGATGTGTTATATGTGTTTTTTCTTCCTGCCCCTGCCCTTAAAAAAGTCTGTCTTCATG